CTGTCTTCGTTTCGTCTCTCACTCGTTTGTTGCACCTGTAATCTTCCACAGCAACAGATGTTTCGTCTTGCATGTGGAGTGTGGTACATATATGTGGTGTCCTGCCAGACGGTTGAATCTGAATTTTTTCTGCTGCCCGGTTTCGTGTTGGTTGTCCATAAAGTTCTTTTTTTTTTGAGAAACCGGGAAAACTATATTACATAAACTTCTTAATGTTTACACCAAATCTTACAAAGACCCTCTCAAGAAAAATGAAACTACAATCCAGTCCTTGCAAGATCATGGTCCTCCCGGTTGACTTCGTCGCCGGTGGTCGGAGCAATCTGCAGCTTGAAGCCAACCCCCTTCCGGACGATAGCTCTTCACAATTTTTCGATGCCACCATGAGTTGCATATCGAGAGCATCGACATGTTGTAAGCTCGTTCAACGTCTCGCCGGTAAAACAAGGAATCTGGCACCTCAAAGGCCACCAGCAGCCCTGACTCACTGGAGAAAGATATAACCCGAAGGGAAGCAAAACCACTAAAGAAGGTGGGATCCAAAACCAACCCGGTTTCTCTACAAGTTGTTAGACAAACCTTCAAAATTTCTCCATATATCCATTGCCGTATTCTGGATTACAGGTACAGCACTATCATTGGCACCATGGGCACCAACGGCACCAAGAAAATCACAGAAAACCAAACACCAATGTAGAAGATAAAATCGATGACATACCCATCGATGTTGAGATCCTCGCAAAAGATATCACCATCAATCACCACATGCACCTCAGACAGCACCAGGACTCGCTCATCACGAACACAGGCAATAGTAGAGAAACTCTTGGAAGGGACAAAAGCTTACCAACGACATCTCCACCGGTAAGAAATCCAACCTTATTCTAGGTAAAACTTCTATTAGAAGAGGATATGTACATCCAACGGATCCGCCGTTCCAAGCACATCGGCGCCAAAAAGGCCACCGACGGCGAGGAAAAGCAGCGAATCCGGCGCAGAGTCGAGAAATCGCAGGCGCGTCGCCTCTGTCTACTCTTGGGGAACAGACGCTTCGAGAGAAGCCGAGTGCGTTTACGACCTTCCCCATAAAGTTCTTTCGATGGTGCTGCCTGTGGCTTAAATGCAAAGTCTGGAACAGGCCCAGTTGCTATCTTCGTGCATCATGGATTGGCTCAATCCATTGGGCCGTTGGAGACCTGGAGCCACGACCCTGCTGTGTTCTTCTACAAGTTATACTCAAGTTGTGTCCTCGCAGTTGACACGGAAAGGATAAAGCTGCAAGATGTGTCTCAGTTTGGCACTCGAAGGGAGCTAGGTGGTGTTTTTTTTTTTTTTTTGCCATGGCAGCGTCGTCGCGTCGTCTCTAAGGAATCCCGCGGTTTCTCCAGGTAGTTTGTTTAATAGCGTTATGCCACTAAGTTGCAATGGTTTTGTGCCATCATAGTGTAGCTTCTCAAAAAAAGATGTCAATTAACTTCGAGGAGTATACTAGTTGGTTGTGCAGTGGCCGTTAGAGATTTTGTGGTCCATTGCCAGCTATCACCATGTTCGCTTGATCGTATCAGCTATGCTTATCAGTTAATATTTTTCTCTCACAATAAAACAGCATCAGCCGGCTTATAAGCTACAGAAACGATCAAGCGAACAGGGTTTCATACTAGTATAACTCTCACAGTCTCGCTATACTTGTTAACAGAGACATGATACCCATCAAAATTCTTATATGATTATATCCTGATTGAATTTAGTGGCATATCTGAGATAGAGTAAAGTCCAATTCAATTTGGCCTCTGAACTTATTGCTGAATTTAAAAGACATCTTTGAACTCGAATATCGGACAGTTTATACCCCCACCCTTAATTTTAAAATTAAGATAAATTATTCTACTTAAATAGTTTAGAGTGCTTTCGATGGTGGTTTTGGCTGATGTGGCATGTGGGACCCACATATCTTCAATTTTTTAGTCATGCTATCTTTTATTAAATATTTAGGTTCCTAAATAATTCCAAATGAAAAAAATCAACTAGAAATTTTTAGATCTCTTTAAGCACTAAAAATTTGGTATAGAGCGTGTCTCCATCCCACCGAGAATTTAAAAATTTTGAATTTCATAAGTAGAGAACTTAAGACTAGTACACTGGGGTTTGAAGTTTTGGCAGTATTCTATGAGGATTCAAGTAGTGTTGAATTGCTCGATTCAGTTGGAATCAGAATGATTGTTTGCATGAATGGCCCTGTTCGCTTCGCTGAAAAAACAAGCCGAAACATTGTTCCGGCTGATTTGTTGTGAGAGAAAAACACTGTTCCGGCTGAAAAAACAAGATAAAAAGTACGGATTATAAGACAAGTGAACATGGTCATATAATGTTGCTTCGTTGGATATTCTTTTGCAGAAGCTCTTTGTCCTAAAATATAAAGAATTTAAGTCTGTCCTAAGTTAAACTATGTAAAGTTTGATTAAGTTTATAGAGAAAAGTATTAATATCTACCATATCAAAGATGTAAATTATGAAAAAAAAATAATTTGTAATGTGTCAATAATACCAATTTAATGTCATAACTATTATTCTTTTTTCTTATTTTGGTCAAACTTAACACAATTTGACTTAGGACAGACTTGAATCCCTTGTATTACATGTGGAGTATAAGTTTGTGCAAAAAAAAGGCCAATATATGCAATCGGTCCATTTGGCTTCAAAGTATCACTGTACTAATTCTGATGACCTTGCCTGCAGTGAGCTCCAATGTTGAACGGGATGTAAGAAAAATCCAGCCCGAAAGCGACCCAGCTAGCGGTTTTGCATAAAAGAAAAAAGAAAACAAAAATAAGAGGCGGTCATCAAGAAAGCAAATCCACTGCAGTACGGTGGAGGAGGGGAAAAAATCAGTTAGAATGGTTCTCTTGGAGTAGCCATAGGTTGGGAGCAAGGGGCACAGGATCGGAGTAGAAGACAACATGCCTTTGGGCCGTATCATATTAAGATTCCAGTGTTTACACTATGTACCTAAGGATCCCTTCCTACTCTCTCTCTCTCTCTCTCTAATCATTTTTATATACATATACGTTTCCGCCAAATTAAGTGTAAACTAACGCCAAAAGTGTGGCATGAATGTAAATGTAAGTTTGTCAATATAAGCTGTCAGTTTCCTCTTGAAATATATATGCAACACTCTCCCGGTGGGCTTGTCGTTGAGCCTAGTGAAGCGGTGAGCACTCTGGATGACCTGCGGGGAGGCTTGTTTCGTCGGCGTTGCGAGCAGCCCCTACCTCTGCTCTATGGCCCCAACATCCCCATGCACTACAAGAACGTACACTCGACAACGAAGCAAAATCTATATCTTGCTGGCAGACGTATACATCCATCGATCTTGCAGACTTTCGTGCATGAAATCAACTAGCTAGTAACTTGTGTTCAGGGAATTGGCAAGGATCTGTTTAGTTTTGGATGTAATTAACAGGCTGTTGTTGTCTTGAGCGCTTGCACTGTTGAGGCTGAATGGCTGATGTCGATCGTTGCCATGATCACCACCTACTAGTTCTCCCTGTTCGATCTGGGTCAAGTTCGTTTTAGGCTCTTCTTGAGGTGTTTCCTTAGTTTCGTTCTCCTTGTTGTCATTCCGGAGCCTTGGCTGGCGACCGACTCTACGACTCAACCTTGGCGCAGTCTAATCAAAATTCCAACTCTACGTGACACAGGTTTTATAACTTGTGTGATAATAAGTAGTAGTAGAACTCTCTATATGTCAACAAAAAGTTATCAAAAAGAAGCCCATGGACCCTATTCAATAGCCCTTCTCTTCCCCTCCGGGCTGTAGGAAAGTTACACAAATAAATTGCAGCCAAGGTCTGTGCATCTAATACCTTTGATCGGGCACCAAATCTTCCCCAAAGTCTGAGCAATGCCGTTTGCATGGCCTGGTTTCTCCGCGGATAGCTTCCCCACCACCTGGAGTTCTTTATCCTTGAAGGTGGCTGGACCTGAGGACATAGTCAGGAACATTCCCCACACGGCCGTGCAGCCCGATATGCGCCGGCTTGGAGCCACCACAAGATAAGCCAGGTGCAGCCTAACCTTTTTTTTTTTTTAGATCCGCCTAATCTTTTTCTTGCCCAGTTTAAGAACCTGCGTAGAATGCCATGTCGGGGCAAAAAAACAACCCTGGGTTGTCGACAGAGAAACTGTCCTGCTTCAAAGAGTCCATCCTGATAAAGAGTTTCAAGATTATTCTTTTAAGAATCTTCATACGACAGTCTAATTTTATGGTATTCCTTCTTTTGTGAGATCCACAAAACACCTAGAGAATCTGCTATATGAGGTTGGTGCCATTTAATTTAGACCCGATTTCACCAAATCACCGGCCGACATCTATGGGTTTTTGAGCAATTTTTGTATGTTCAAGCCAAACTTGACATCACCAAGAAGGCCGTCGATAGAGTCCAGGTTGAAAGTCTCAAGCAACACAGTGCGAGATGAAGCTCCCCACCCGATTCGTCTGGATCAAATCCCTCAACAAGTGCTCAACAGGGATTTGCTCCTGACGAGTCAACGAGAGGCTTATAGGCGGAGCGTGGTTGACACAGATTCCGCGCAGTTGTAAACCGACTACGTTACCGGCTGCCCATCAAACAGGCAACTGTTTCCACATTCTAACATTAGACCATTGATGTCGAATACTTTCGGCGAACCATTTCACGTCGTAACACATTGTCTTTAATACACATCCCTGAGGGGTGCCTACCAAGTATACAATCACAAAACCATTTTCCACAATGTGCCCTGAAACACACATACACTCTGCATTTCACCCCAAATGGTACCCTACAAACTGCAGAATAATGGGTTTTGACCCTACTAACAACTACAATCGAAAGCTCCGGTATCTGTTTGATCGTCATCCCCTGGTTCCTTCTTGGCACGTGCAACTTCATAGCATCTGGCTTTGTCATCATCAGTCAAGTAAAGAGCTGAGTAGAACAGAATGATCTTGTGATGGCCAGCTATGATGGAGGGCTCACTGAAGGTCTGATCCTCGCAGGCATGCTGCTGAACTCACTGTTTGTAGCCAGTGGATGGTAGAAAGTGCGGAGCGGTGTTATGGACATCTTATTCATCGAATACTCAATGTCATCGTCATCGTTAAAATCTATTTCAAAGTGATCATCCAAGCTGCCCACATTCATTCCGGGTGCGTCAATGTCGGCAAGCTCGTCGTCGTCCTCGTCGCTGTTGTTGTTACTGTATGTCGTCTTGACCAAGGACCAGAACTCAAAATTTGGGCGTATATATCTGCAAGGATACAATGGATCATCAGGCAGGAAACACTAATATACTACCTCCGTCCCCCAAAAGAATGCAATTCTAGCACAGTGTCGCGTTTTAGTACCTGAAGTTTGATCAATTATAGATAAACAAATATCCATGTTTATGATACCAAATAAATACCATCAGATTAATTATGAAATGTATTTTTTATAATAAATTAATTTAAAGACATAACTGTGAATATTATTTACTAAAAACTTGGTCAAACGTGAACCATTTTTTGTGGCACGCAACACATAGTTGCATTCTTTTTTGGACGGAGGTAGTACACTAATTACAAGGACAATTAGCTTCTGAATTAAAACACCATTCTGCCGATGCTGGTTGAGCTCATAATAAGGAGAAAAAAGAGGACCCAGCAATAGGAATTAAAATTTCTAGCAATTTCTGGTATAGATGTTATAGCAATGGTATGACAACAGTTTTATAAAGTTCAGGATTGAATGATATGCAAATAACTATCCTCCAAGAGCACGCACTAGAAGTAGAACATAATGACACTACAACTGGCTAAAAAGGCACTCTTATTGATATTCAAACCTGTCAGACTCTTTAAGCAGATATGGGTCAAATGGGAAGAACATGTCAAGCCTATTAAGTCCTCCAAATGCCTTCGATAGATCAGATTCAACCGCATCTTCATGTGTTGAATTCACAGATGCATGGAACAGACTTGCAGCCCTAGCCTGTCTCAAGAACTCAATCACTATTGAAGGCAAGCACACCTATAGCATCAAAAGGCATACCAGTTACCACTATGTATTTATATAAAGGCAAAACACAAGTGCGTGGCTGCTAAAAGATACAGTGAAAGTGGTAGGGAGTGTGATCCAGACCTTTAATGGCTCCAATGGGTGGGCCAAGATATTCTGGATTCGCATTTGAAAAAGTTGTAGTTTAAGATTTGGGTACTCCATAATAGATCTTAACCGAAAGCATAGGACATACATCACAGCCTGCAGGTTAAGAAACATGGCAGATAAAACATTCAGAAAGCATATGATGCTAGAACAGGAACAGGGGTGATTGAGTAATAACATGCATTTGACCAACTTCTTCTCTTGCTTAGTTAAATATACATAAAGATTATGGCATAACAAACCTGGCAGCTAGCATAAAATAGTTGATGTTTTATAGGATTGGCTGTCACCCCTTTGTCCAGCTGACAGCCACAATAGTCCCCACACCACTCCACTAACCTAAGCACATAACGTAACATAAATCTCAGATGTACAAATGCATAAAATGTAGATACTGTGTGAGGTGTTCAAAACAAATATTTTGCAAGTTCAGAGTGTAGCCACCTTTTGAGTACAGCAACAACTTTATTTACGGAAATGAACCTTGCCCGGGACAGATAGCTTCCAACATATGAAACTGCAGACATTCTGCACATAGAGAAACAAATGTGGTCATTGGCATTTCTTTAATCGTCAATTCACACACGTTGTGTATTAGGTTAGCAACAAATCGATCTCAGAACAAAATATGCTAGTTATTTCGATCACTGAATCTCCTCCAATGATTATATTTGTAAGCCCAGACCTTTTTACCACAGTGCAGTAAACTTTAGTGAAGATAGTATGTCTATAATAAATTATTCACACAGCTACGATGCCAAAATCTCCTAACTCTGTAAGGCAAAGTGTCAAAACAGAGCAAATAGTCAAGGCATGATTACAAGTTTACAACATGCAATGGTCATTAGAGAGGTAAGGTTCAAACACTGGTGCCTCCAATCACCTAGATACACGACAGAAAGTTTCCTTACTGGATGTACTCGTTGCATAGCAAACAAGAGGCTTACCTAGTTATTGCATCCTCCTTTTTGTCCTTGTCAATAAAAATATCGGCAAGAAAAACAGCAAACCCATCACCGCAGATCTCTGGATACAGGGAACAAGCATAAAACATGATAAACTGCAAAAGTCAAAATAAATGTGTCAATCCAAGAGGGCAAGGCAGAAAGCAGCTGAAAATACAAGTTGGGTACTAAACATTGTGAATCTACTTTACAGAAGGTTAATCCTTAACCTGTGCAAATTTGGATTTGTGCACCCTTAGCACATGTGATTTAAATATAGCCTTCAAAGTGTTAAATTCCTGTCCAAGTCAAGATAAAACATGAGCAATATCAAGACAGAAGTGCTTATATGTGTTTACTTATCATTCACTCGTAAGTCATGAACTACCACAAAATAGAACATTTCTCAGACAGCATTAGATGAGTTGCAATTGACAATTATAAAAACACAATCTCGAAAGAATCAACCCTAAGGATAGAGCACAAAGTTAAATGGCTGTACACAGCTCAGCTCTACAGCGTGCCTTTGTTTTGCATCCCAATCTGCATACCTTTACCTGGTTAGGGCCTTGGTTCCACTCAGGATGGTGCCTCTTGGATTATCTTGTGGGGTTGGGTTGGTCTGGTGGTCCTGACAGTTTCTACTAGCCAGGTTAAGTCAAATACAGGACCAAGACAAAGATCAAATTCCTCAGGGCCTGTTTGTTTCTGCTTTATATTGAGGATTCTGGTTCAAAAAGCTGAAGCTAAATAAATGGGTGCTTTCTAAATGCAGATGTTAGAATCCAACCACATTTACACCACAATCCACAAGTGCATCCCACCAGCTTACAACTTTTAACAACCCACATCTACAGCTAACTTTTAAGAATCCAAAGCTTAAAGACCTTGGATCACACCATATTAAGACTAATAATCCTTAGTGAAAGAAGCTTTGGGTCAACAAACAAAGGCAGCAAAGGGAAGAGAAGCTTGAGCACAAAACACGATACATCAATAAGCTAGAAAAGGAGAGAAAGCTAAACAAAACTTTGAACGGTTATGAAATACATCTCGTCAACAAGGTGATGGCTGTTGCCGGTCACAGGATAGCCAGTGTGTTAAGCTTCAAGCTGTCAGAGAAGCACATCCTGAGATGTCATGAAGCTACTGGCCATTGTCGAAGAAGACAACCATCCAGGAAGCCAACATCTAATACCCCTGAAGGAGAAGCTACCAGCCATACCCTTGAGGCCTTGTTTGGTTTGGTGGGGATTGGAGGGGATTGAAGGGGGTTGAGGGCGACACCGAACAAAACTGAAGAAGCTGCCGCCAATGCAGTCCATGCCACAAAGTAGCTGATGTCCCACTTTCTTTCTCCAATAACACTTTATATGGGATTGAGGGTCTCCTTCCACTGGACTCCTCAGATGGGTTTGGCGGTTTATAACCACATCTAAATAAATTGATGGGTTTGGCGGTTTATAACCACATCTAAATAAATTATAGCATCTCTTTCTCAAATTGGATCAGCCCTGTGTTGTAACTGCATACGCATGTTAATTTTGGTTTGGGTTTGGTGAGGGTAGCCAGGTTAACCTGAGGTCCTGAACCATGAACAGTCATACAAAATATTTTGTGGCAAATTTACAAGGGGGGAAACAAAGAAACCATGCATACCTACATGGACATATTCATATATTTAACTAAAATTGCCATTAATAAATGACTGTAGTCCTTATTAACTTTTTGTGGCGATGTATCTATCAGTATTATAATTATGTTTTCATATTCCCAAATAGCGTAAGTTATACAAAAAAAGATGACAAATGAAGGTTCAGTTTTTGAAGTTAAGATTCCAGCCATGTGCTCACCTTAATTAGGCGATCAGGTTCTTCTGCGCGTGACTTGAGGTGCTCGCACACAACCACCATTAAACCATCAAGTTTCTCGGCACACACATTTCCTCCAAAAAAGACCTAGCCAATCAAAGTAGGCCTTAATTTACTCACAGTTAATTATGTAATAAAGTGCAGACATTTCCTATTAGAAGTACTCAATTAGTAACGCAAAGAACATTCTAAATATGACAAACCTTTGTTCCTTCTTGACCAAGGTTATCTTCATCCTCATCCAAATCCTCAAGCTCCATGTCAAATATACCTTTGTTGTGTTCATCTTGAAGAATATCTTCCCATGTTATATTAACCTGCATAATTCCAATCAATCAATAAGAGAAAAAACCAGTTCCAAGATAGATTACCTAACCATACAAAAGGAAAGGAGCATACATCCAATTCCGTAAGTAGATAAACAACTTTCTCCAACAATGATGGTCCAATGATGTCCCAAACGTCAGCATCAAGACCCAACATGCACTCGACAAATGATACCATCTTCTGCAAAGACAATCCCAGAAGGTAAGATTGATTGCTCATGAGCAGTGTAAGTGGTGTATGTGTAAAAACTGCAGAGCAGGAGTGTATGGACATGGTATTATTAAACAAACAGGCCCTCAGCAAGAAGACAAGTTTGTAAGATAGCAGACTGAAGAAAACATGTTAAGTACTAAAAACTGCATAAAGGCATCAAATCAAATAGCTATAACAGCACATAACTTTACACTATGTTCAAACCGGGCGACTTTAGTTTGCATCCAATTTTTAGTTACCCCCTCCCAACCCAATAAAGCATCAGAGGAAAGAAAGGAGCCAAGGACAAAAACAGAGACATGGAGAGAGGTTATAGTTTTTGTGAACCATACGCATGTCAATTGTCTATCAAGAATTCAAGTAAGTTGGGACTATCTGTAAACAGACATAGCAGCTAATGAAAAATTAGAATAGCCTACAGAAATAACACTTACAGCTTTGTTATCAAACAACTTTGGCATACTCCTATCTATTATATCCTTTAACATCCTTGGTGCTAAGGGCACAGTGTCAGAAATCTTTTTCAAACTCGCTTGCAACTGAGAGTAGATTTCTTCCTTCTTTGCAAGCCACCTTGGCTCCTCAATGTAACGAATAAGTGGTCCAGGTGGAGTGAAATTATTCACAAGCATCTGCAAACATTCGCTGAGGTACTGGTCTGCCACAGCAGCCTACACAAACACAGATCAATTAAACACACACACACAAATGCAGAAAACTCTGGATATACAACTGAGGAAGTATACCAATCTGGTTATTAAATCCAAAAGCGCAGCCCTTGTGTAGCTGTTTAAGTACCAGATGCACATGGTAAATATCTGAAAAAGAATAATTTTAGTAACATTTCATTCACTCGACAAAAATAAAGGAATGAGCACTATGGATTACATTACATTGTGTAGAAGTGCGTGATGATACATGGTGTCTATCTTGGATACTCCTTCTGATAGTGCCTTCAAAGTAGTCTGGAAAAAAGTAGGGCATAAGCATGAAACAGACCTAACGAATCAAGTGCGGAAAGGTGGACAAGCTAAAATAGGGTTAAGAGTTAAGAACTTACAACAAACATAGCCTCCTCATCACTACTACGTTTCTTGGTAGGGTCTACAAGGCCTAGCAGGAAATCATATCGATCTTTGTCCCTTAGGTCAATTAAAATGGATCCTAAATGATAGATCGACATGTTAATACATTTACATTGTACTATTCTATAAGTAACTCGGGAATTCATTAAAGTAGACAATAGAATTTTGCTCTGAAGTTCTCATAAATCCTTGTTTGGATGACATCAATAGCAAAATGAGAAATGGAATGAATTCCTTAATGTAGGGGACTGAGTAAAGGCAGTGTACTCAAATCAGCAGACTGAGCTCAGACAAGGAAAATTTTACACGACATACACTGTTGCTAAATAATTTATGTATTTTGGGTTCTATTTTTTTAAATGACAAGGCATTACTCCAGTCTCCAAGAAGTACATAGCTACAAGAAGCAAAAAGAACACGACTATTACCTACTCTCTAAGAAAGGCAAATAAACACTGCAGGTACTTTCATTTGTCCACCTGTTAAAACATGTATTGTGTACAAGCTTCCTTAATATAGTGGTTTTGAGGTGTAAAAAGCAGAAGAATCCTGCATTTGCTAATTAAACACTCGCAATTTGAAAATGATCACCTTTCAATTTCCCTAACTCCACACCTCACATGCATCTGGCAAATTTGGCCATGCCTTCACCAGCAAGCTTTAGTTTCGAACTTGAAAGCAGGAATATAAAGTTCACTGCAAGTCTCGGCTTTGTTCTGGAGAATATGTTTTCCATAACACGATAAGTGAATGCATTATTGCTCTTGTTATTCAGACCGCAAAACTTTAATGTTTAACAAATCTATCAACAGAAACTGGCAAAAGATGTATGTCATTTAATTAGTTGTTAACTTCTAGCAGATAGGAGCAATTTAGACCTGAGATCTACAGAACTGATACACAGGGGCGGAGGCTCATGAAGGGGAAACTGGGCCTCCCCTCCCTCCTCTGGGAGGGCAGTAACTCTGACATTAACTATGACATCCTATAATCCTCATGGATGCTTTGTAGGACTGCACCTATAGTCAAGATTTGAGAAATTTGATAGGTAATACAGTAGTAGCTTTTGTAATTGCCCCTCCTTGCTTTTGGTCACCCTCCGCCACTGCTGATACGAAACAAAAGCAGAGCCAGAGGGCAACAATTGGTGAATTTCTGGACTTGATAACAAACATACCAAATCCTCACTTGGTTCTGCTTTAGTGTGGTTATCCAGGGGATGATTAGAAATTCTGAAGATCATGCCCTCCTTTCAAATTTGCAGGAGATACAATCGAGTCAGAAACTGCATCAGTAGTTTTTTTGGGGGTGCTTTCTCAATACAAGGTTTGGATACTGCACTTCTCTATATCACATTCTAACGTCCTAAATCCTAAGAAACCTTGGTGGGAGCACAAGCAGAGCTAGCATATTGCATTTGAATTTATAGTCCAAGTTCAGGGGGTGCAGGTGCACCAATTTACTTGCCAAGCTCCAAAATGAATGCTCAATAATTGAAGCAATGAAGTAAAGTATTGAAAGATTGAAGCTACAGAGTCTTAAGTACTCCCAACTTCCAAGCCCAACGAGAATACTGATCGTCCAAAAGCAAATAAGTCATATTGCACGGCGACGAGCTAAGGATGGAAGGCCCGCACCTTCCGCACGGACTGCAGCACCCCCCCGACATAGTTGAACGCCTCAGAGTCGCTGGTCACCTCCATATCGTCGTAGCCCTGTTCCGCCCCCATCGCCAGCTACCCCCAACACCTCCTCACAGGAAGAATCTCAGCGATGGAACCTACAGAAAACACAGACCGAATCAAGACGAATCCGGGGAAGGAGTGGAAGAAATTCGAGAGGAAGCGATCGGGGACACCCACCGTCTGTCTGTGAGGAGGGAGGCGGCGGCTGGAGGCGGCGTGGCGGGAGGTCTAGGGTTTTTTGTCGGAGCGAGTGAGAGGGGGAGCGCGTGTGGAAGGGGACGCAAAGTTTATCCGCGGCCAGTGAAACGCCGTGTCAGGGCTCGGGGGCGGTTCCGCCTCGCGGATCCTGGACGGGTTACGGATAATTGCTCGTGATCCCTTACCCGATTTGCTTAATTATGGGCCGGGCGAACAGCGGTCCGGACCAAACCGGCCCATCACGTAATGGAACGAGACAGTCTATTTGGTCGGAAAGGCGATGTGAGCTTAACGGTTTTTCTTTGGAACTCCGTGCAGTGTGATGAACTGATAATTATGGAACGCCAGATGATGTTCAGGCCCATGAACGGGACAACTACTTATCAGGGTTCCTCGATCAGAAAGAAACTTTAAGATTGTTCCCGGGGGTGCTTTATCTCATGACTAAACTTTAGCCTATGTCACGTCGCATGTTTAGATATTAATTAGGAGAATTAAATATGAGCTAATTATAAAACTAATTACATAAGTTTAGCTAATTCGCGAGACGAATCTATTAAGCCTAATCAAGCATTGATTAACACATGTTTACTGTAGCATCACATGAGTTAATCATGGGTTAATTAGGTTTATCGATTCGTCTCACGAATTAGCCACACTTATGCAATTGGCGGTTGTGGACTGGTGAGGTTGTCGACGATCTCTAAAGTCTGAACTTGTTTGACTCGAGCGGGTTGGGTTGGTTCGCCGCCTCGCTGGAGGTGATAAATATCCTAGCATGCCAATGCCATGTAGACCCACACCACGTAGAGGCTTGTACTTTTTAAGAATATGGAAAAATATTGTTTTTCATCACAGAATCAGACTAAAATTATTACAAGAGTCACCATCATCCTCACTCAGCTCAATCACGATCAAGAATGGATATATAATTTTGCAGGGCAACCCATAAAATTAAACCTCTATACGGATTTGTAGGCTATCCCACTTACCTCCCTACTTCTGATTCAACCCACGTCCTCGTTTGCTTTATTTAAAAAATAAATAAAGATTAGAGGTACAAAAGGATATTCATTGAGAGCTTACAAGTGCATCGCACATAAAATTTGGTTTATTTATTTTAAAATAAAGATTAAAGGTATAAAAAGAATATTCATTGAGAGATTACAACTGCATCGCACATAAAATAGATTAGAAGCTCTAAAGCATCACAATAACAAGGGCAAGACATAATTTCCCTAAAAAAAACAAGGACAAGACATAAAGATGTAGATGTAGCGCTCCCAACAAAAGAACATATGTAATTGATGATGATTTGTAGTCATGGATGGACAAAACATAAATACAATCGAGGATTTAATCAATCTTATGTTCCATCAAATATATACAGAACACTAATATTTACGATGTGTAATAAGTATTATTAGATTAATCATGAAATGTATATTTCTTTAATAAACCTATTTTGGGGATACATATGTTGAAATTGGTTTCAATAAACTTAGTATAACTTGAGATTGATTTACTACTCGAAAAACAAGATTTGTATTTTTTGGATGGAGGGAATATGTATGCTAGTCTGTGATGAGCCTTGAATTTGGTGAGATTACGTACTCCATTCCTTATACTAATATTAATTATTAGCTTGTTAGGAATACCATGGTGATGAATCAAAGTATAAATAAAAAATGAGTGGGAAAATGATGAAGATGGACTAAACCGTGCTCACGTTAAAAAAAGAGAGAGAACCCACAGACGATTGATGTATAGTCAAAGCTCAAACAACTACTTAGTACATAACCGTTCCTTGCATTACCCCTCGCAAATGAGCTAAGTTTATTTATTTAATTTATGTTACATATGGTATTATCTCACTCACAAAATAGAGTATATATAAGTGTATTTACTACACAAAGCCTTATTGATATCTTTTTTATGTTTGTATACGTACACACCATGTACCCGCGGGGCAAAATATGCCAAGTGTAGATTTGATATTCCACAATCAACAATTCAACACCAGCGTCAACTAGTGTATCAGGCAATTAATAGCAAGGGCATTTCACATATGACGTGGATGACCTGCATGTTTACGCCAGAACCATCTCTAGCTCCAGCACAGACTGTGCAGTCCTGTCCGCCCCGGGGCGATTCTTGACCGGGTAGTAGGTATCCAAGGCGATGCCGCACTTGCCCGTGGGCGCGGCCACGTTGCGCCTCATGCGGATGTAGCCGGCCTCGCCCCAGTAGGTGCCCCACGAGTTCTTCATGATCCAGTAATCCTTGTCATTCTCGCTGCCATAGCCCACCGCTGTGACGCCGTGGGTCTAGCTTCGTCCCACATACGCCGTCGAAGACACCCTGTTGTGTGAGCGTGCGAGGGTAGAAATAAAGTTGAGGGCAGGGAAGGGGCAAAGTTGCTAGGCTGTTTCGAATGAGTTTCCCAAAATACATTTTTAAATAAATAAACAAATGGCCTATATGCATGCATGTTGTTTCCCTAGTCGTGGCATGCATTATAAGCGACGTTTTTTATTTTTACCGATTTATAGAGCTGGAACGAACGGCCGCCAGCCTCGATGGCGACGCTAACAGGCTGATTGGCCACCGCCGCCTGTAACGCCTTCTCATTGTTGGCTGGCAACACCCTCTTGTACGAACTTATGGACACAACCTTCTTCTTTATCTACATAACAAAACATGTACAAATATCCATCACCATCGACGCAGTGAGCAGGTTAGGTGTTCACGCAAATTTACTGCAGAAACAGAAACTTAATTACTTATCATGACAGTACCGTACCGACCTTGTTGGCATCACAAGTGCCGTCACGTCCGGTGAAGGGGTAGTCGGCCTCGGTGTCGATCCCGCCATTGCTGATAACCCACTGGAAAGCGTAATCCATGCGTCCGCCGCTGCAGCCATGGCTCTTGTGATCGCAGTCGATCAGCTCCTGCTCCGACAACTCCACGAGCTTACCTGTCACGATCTTGCTGATGCCCTCCATTGCCGCCACTGCCGAGAATGCCCAGCACCCACCTGCGCGCATCTCTCAGGGACGCAAAGATCATCCATCAGTCAAATACATACCTAGCTCCATATTCTTACCGGAGATGAGAACTTCATAGCTCGATCGAGCTATGGAGCAACGACGAGCCGACGATCGTACGTGTTTACGGACCGCATGCGACTGGGTTCCTGACGGTGGTGACGGCGCCGCTCTTGCGCCAGTCGACGGCGGCTGGGACTGCCTGCGGCTCGCCAGCGCTGTGCAGGTCGAAGCGGATGCTCCGCCCGTCGGCGGCGTCGTCTGCCGTCGTGTCGTTGCGGCGGCTCTGCTGGAAGCCGAGGACGCGGCCGCGGAACTCCTCCAGGGTGAGGTCGGCGAAGGGGGTGAGGCCGAGGCGGAAGCCGTGGAGCCCCAGGTCGGCCTCGGCGTTGTGGGCGTCGATGTAGCGGAGGTTGTCGCGGAACACCTCCAGACGCAGGAGGTCATCGTCGTTGCCGCGCGGCGGCCACGGCGGGTGCTTTGACTTCCACGCCTCGTACAGCTGCCGCACCTCCTCGTCCACCCGCTCCCACGGCGCCGCCGAGTGGATGCTGCGGGGCGCAGCCGAGACGTCGACGGCGGCCAGTGCCACGGCCAATGCCACCGCGAGCATTGTGGCCGCCATCGCCGTGGGCGCAGGGGAGCGTGCTGGATGCATGGGATGCATGGGCGCTCGAGAGCCGGACTGGTCTCAACTCTCAAGTCTCGAGACAAGTGCTCTCAACTCTCAAGTCGAGACAAGTGCTCTCAACTCTCAAGTCTCGAGACAAGTGCTCTCAACTCTCAAGTCTCGGTGCCTCAGCCTGTGAAGCGAAAGGGTCAATTTATAGCCACGCGGGACGCCAAGTGGACCATCCGGGCCCACCCACGGCGCCAACCAACAACCGTTGACGCGATTTGTAGAGATAAGCACCACTAGAGCTACGAGTCTACGCCGATGCTTGTTTTGGCACGGTTTCTAGTTAGTTTTTTTAAGTAAAAATAAATTACACTATCATTTTCTAAAATATTAAACAATTTTTATCTAGATCCCAAACTATAAAATTGCATATCTAGGTCCTAAACTATTTAAGTATATCATCCAGGTCCAAAACAGCCACGTCACAGTCCATTAATTAACGTGACGCTCGCATGAAATTGACATGTGGGTCCATAGCTTATAATTACAGGGACAGTGCCTAAACTATCATGCGATCCTCACATAGATCCTAAACTATAAAATTATCCATTTCGGTCCTTAATCTGCCAATATAGTTGGATCAAGGGACGCGCCAGGGCAGGCATTGTTGTCAAGTGTGTGCTAAAACACCTCACTCACTCATCGTGAATTGGTGACATGGAACAACCGGTCAGCAACAAGTTCGCGGGTATGTTGGGCAGTTTTTCCATGTCACCGTAGCGAGTGATGTGTCTTACCACACACTTGACGATAGCGCGTGTCAGTATGTCGCCCGGTCCAACCATATTGGCAGATGGCATCAATACATTTCTCTCCAAGATAAGATGAAAAGCAGACAATAAGAAGTTCAATGGAAAGCAAAGGCTCGGAAACCTGTCCGGCAATTCACACGACGATGAATGAAGCGTGAAGAGGTTTCTTTAGACAAGGACTATATTAGTTTAATAGATTATGAGGGACCCAAATGAGTAATTTTATAGTTTGGGACCTAGATGAGAATCACATGATAGTTTACACCATCCCTATAATTATGAGTTATGGACCCACATGTAGATTCCACGTTGGAGCGCCATGTCAGCTAATGGATTGTGACATGGCTGTTTTACACAAATCCTTAC